TAAGCGAGTTAGTTGGTGAAAAAATAGTTATTTAATTATTTCCGTGTGTGAGAGAGACGCTACTGTGGTGAGTGCTCATTTGAGTTTGCGTTGTCATCTCCCGGTGCTATCCCAGCTGCTGCTGCTGCTGCTGTCGTCGCTCTTGCTTAGATTACGCAACACGATGTTTGCCTTTGTTTTGGTCTCCAGCTGAAAGCCGAAAGTGGGAAGCATGCGTCGGCCCACTGGCAAAGTGGTCGGCATCATCAAGCGGAACTCGAGGCCGCTGTGCGGCATGCTCATGCCCAGCCCAATCAAGGAGGTGGGTGATCTGCATGTGTGTGTGTACGTGTGGGGAGCGGTAATGTAGCGGTTAGCGCGCTGCGCTACGAATCCTGGGACCCGAGTTGGATTATATTTATCGCTCATAACCAATAAAACAGCGCCCAAATGTCTGAACCTGTCTTTGGCCCTTCCCTAGGTCGACTCGGCCATAAATGAGTATCTGATGTGGCATGTAAACATCAGCGCTGTGGAGACAAAGGCGGTCGGGCATGGTGCTGGCCGTACCCACCCCCGTCGTTTTGCCGTACCAGCTTGAATAGGTGTGTGCTGACGGCCACTCGCCCCAAACAATTTGTTGAATGCCTTACTGGGGGCTCTTTGTGCGGGTTGCAGGCCACCCGCCACCTGTTCACGCCCGCGGACCGCCGCATGCCACGAGTGCGGGTGGAGACAAGACAAGCAGCGTCCCTGCAGGCCCACCGCATCGTGGTGGCCATCGATGGCTGCTGCGACACTCCTGCTACCCGAACGTACGACTGCACCGTGACGCCCCGCACGCCGTGACACCTCACCCGTCCGTCCCGTGGTCGGCATCGTCGGGCTCATCCTTCTGTCACTTGACGCGCGGCCACCCGGCTCTGTATGCAATACAGCCGTCGAACCCAAAACACGAACGGTGACACGGTGAATTGGAAGTCAGGGTGGATGAGCTGGCACCACTGTGATTTTTTTGTTTGAAAGCATGCAAACTCACCTGTGATTCAACCTAGGTTATTAAGGTGTTGTAAGTTGATAGTCTCAGCCCAGTCACCAATAACTGCACCAAAAACGATATTAAATTTGGTCGTGCACTTCGATTGTTTAATTTCCATCTCTGAGAAAACTACTGCTTTTGACTGCCATGTGATGAACATTACTTTGATTGTCAGAGTGGTTGGAAAAGCACTGCCCCCCTACAATTTGGACTGCATTTCACTTCAATGGATCTTAGAAGTAGCTCTGTTATGTCTGCTCCTGTGGGTCGTCCTTGACCACGAAGGGTTTGCATAGATTGCTTGTCTTGTGTGATACCATTAACACAATTAGAAACAAAATTGGTGAAAAGTTAAATATATTGTTAAGATGTATTCTTTGGGTTGTATCTTTGTTTAAATAGATGCCGGTTAATATTCTACATAATGTACGTTAAGTACAAGGTTGGCATTGTGGTTGTGCTTTTCATACCTATTTGCCACTGCACAACCGAGCGGCACCATGGCTGGCACGGTTTTGTAGGCTGCAGGTTGTTTATCCACTGCAAAAGCAGATCCATGCCATGGACGGTCAATGCTTTGAACAAGTCTAGGCACATGCAGATGACGCTGTGGTGCCACGTCTCCGTGGTGTACCGACTGCCGTCACAAAATTAACGTGTCGCTAGCCCCGCCCCTGGCCCTGCTCGGCCCCCAGATATATTTGGATGCCTTGTGGGGCCAGCATATCAGGGTTTGGTTCTGGTTCGACACGGCAAAAAGCCAGTGGGTGACCACAGACACCTCGAGAGCTCTGCGCTGTCTGGGTTCCAATGTACCAGTGGAAAAGGGATACCGGTGACGATTGGCCACGTATGTGCATATGCATGTTGAACTTCTTCCGTACCATACGTAGACAACCTTGCTAATCGTCGGTGTGCTTGTGCAGGGCCATTTTGTGCGCTCTCTGGGCGAATGTGGGGATAAAGAGACGGAGACAGAGGTGCTGCTGCTGGAGCACGACGTGCCACACCAGCCCTTCAGCCAGGCCGTACTTGCATGCCTGCCCCCTCCCACGTTCAGCATCACAGCAGAGGTACGCATGAGATGTGTGACGATATGTCAATTCATCTATTGAGTTCAATTCTTACGCCTGCGGTGTGTTGGTGTGTTTGGTCGTGCATGTGAGAATTCTTTACTTCAATGTTCTTTATTGCAAGGCCCACGGGCCACTGGTGGCTCCTGGGTGGCCTTTGGTGTGGCCCATGACGTGTGGCCCCCGATGTATAGGCCCCTGACAATAGACAAATGCGAAAACATCCCCCATCATCATCATCATCATCGTGCTGTCAAACCTCAATAGTTTCAAGATGTTTGGCCTGCATAGAATACCTTCTAGAGGTCCTCTCTGGAGCTCTCCCTCCAGTCGAGGTCCTTCCGATGCACTGGCATGAACGAGAAGCCACGGGGCTCTACACCTTTACCGCAGACCGTATATAGAAAAGCCGTCGACCTGAAAGAAAGTCGATGGCTCGGACACATCATCGTAAGAAGAGAGGAAATTCACATCGGAGGAAGGAAGGCGACTGACTTATGGAAGCACCAGGGCGGAGACCCAAGAGGCAGGCCTCGAGAGATGCGGATCAAAGTGGTGAGCCAGGATGTGGAGGACTCTGCAGTGGCCGTGGAGATGTTCCAGTACAGAAATGAATGGAGCAAGGGGACTACAGACTTTTCTCCTATAACGCTGTACTTGCGTTCCTGAAGAACAACGAATTGTGGAAAAATCGCATAATTAATAATATAGGGTAAAGCACAGTCCGCGATAACACGTGAGATGCGTATGCAGGCTTAACAAAGACTTCGGGTACGTGAGTAACATCTAGAAGCATCCAGCAGCATCCCGCCTTGTGTGATGCTACACCGAGACAACCGTACAACCGCTTATTCTGCCTCGCACAACGCAATTCTGTTCACTCGATCGCCTTTTATCCAATTCACATCCATGTTATGAAAAAAATGTGTTCCCTAATGCATTCATCGCATTATATCTAATTCACGATATGAAAACACGCAGAGTTATAGGAGAACGGACTGTACTTTGAAAATATTCAGTCGCCTATTGAGAAGATAGAACGCCATTAGAATGAAGTTGGTTTACCCATGTATGGCTCACCCTGTGTTTTGTTTGTTGTAAGGCAGCGTTTTGTTGAACCTGGTGCTGTGTGTGTCCCGTACAAGGACCAGGCTGGCAGGGAGGACCTCCGTGCGTTGTCCATCTGCAGTGTGGATCCTCCAGGCTGCACAGACATCGACGATGCCCTACACTGCAAACCGCTCGACAATGGGAACACCGAGGTATTCATTTGGTGGTGGTAATCGTCGGTCACAGGTCGCGGTAATTCGTGCCTATTCCTTTCATGGTTTTGTTCAATGCTAGCGGAGGTGACAAGGGGAGTTTAGTGGCACAATGATAAGTGCACTGCACATTCATCCTGTCAAGCTGGTTTAGATTCCCAGTCATGGCTAACACCGGTACAGAGTGATATCTAAAAAAACTGCCCAAGTTCTCCCCTTCACCACCTGCATTGACCATCGTAATAAAGCAAGGTCAAATGACAATCGCGACCCATTACGGCATGGAGAAGCCCTCATCCTGCAGTGGATTGACAAAGGGGTGGACAATATTCCTGTTATTAAGTTTCCAAACATTGTTGCCTTAGTGCCCGTATTCTTGGTCTCTGCTCGGCTCAGGACTGACTTCAACACAGCTCAGTTCTGGCTTGATCTGCTCCGTTGCCTCCAAAGACGTATGAGTGGCTTAGCTGTGCCTTGGCTCAGGCTCAGCTCACGGATATTCTGAACGTGGATGGGAGCATGCAGAGATATACGAGGAGGCACAAGGGACACAGAGGCTCAGGGCTGGAAACATGCTTAGAGGCAGCTCGGGTTTTAAGCATTGCTTTGATGTGGCTTATTGAGAATTAGAATCAGAATATTTATGCTGGAGGAATCCAATGAGCTATAAAGCTAGTTTTCACATGTCCAGTAGAGGTGGGTAAGAACCTTACAACAACAAACAGTACAAAACATAATAGTAGTGCAAAGTACAAGAAAGATAAATAAATAACCCAAACACAAACAAATACAACTAAACCATCCCCATCTTACCAGGCAAAGCCCACTGAGGTATTGATTTATTTTTGATTAGTGACCTGGCCACAACTGAATAGCTCAACAAAGTGGCCCATCATTTGGACATTTATAGCAGCCAAAATAATAGAAATACTCTCAATGCATGTTGCGCGAGAGCCAAGCCTGAGCCAAGCCATGGCTAAGACCCCACTTGCCTAAGTGTCCACGTCACTGGCCGAATGCCTGGTTCACAATGAATGCACCAGGTAGTAATGGGTGTGCATTTCATTTCACATTATTGTGCTTTGGTTGGAGTGGCTATGGTGGAGGTTATGCATGCATGTGGAGTGAGCGACTTCCGACAGACGTCTAGTAGAAGACTTATTTCGATTTAAAGCTTTCGTGACTGCAAGGATTCATCTTCTTTGGTTCTTTCGGTAAAGTCACGTAGAATGAGAATAAAATAATAAATTGATAAAATAAAATAACACAATAATATTCTCACGACGTTTCGGCCACAACACAAGCGGCCTTCATCAGGTGAAGGGGACGAGACTGTCTGGAGGACAGCGCTGGAGTGAGAAAGCCACGCTGAGATCACGACCTTTAAGCTGTGTGAGAAGAAACAAAGCACCTTGACAAAGGAATTAGCATATAATTTAGCATTGAAATGGCTGAGTGATTAGCTTGTGACTAGTCACAGAAAAGGCTATGTTAAAGTTAAAGCATACACATCCGCAAAGGCACCCCTTCACAAAGGAATTAGCATAGAATTTAGCATTGAAATAGCTGAGTGATTAGCTTGTAACTGGTCACAGAAATAGCTATGTTAAAGTCAGAGCATATACATTCACCGAGGCACCTAGTACAAATCAAACAGGAGAATTTAGCATTGAAATAACTAGGCGAATTTAGCATTGAAGTAACTGAGTGATTAGCTTGTGACTGGTCACAGAAATGGCTATGTTGAAGTTAAGGCCTACACATTTGAGCTATTCACAGTAACTGGGTATACAATACAATATATAATGAATACTATATAGTGAACCAATAAAAAATACTAAAATATAAATTACCTCAATGTTATCAATAAACTCTATATTCTCCAATCAGCTAAGCTACCAACAATAAGTCGTTATATATCACAATGCTATATGGCGAAAAATGGGTGGATTCTTACCTTCAACTTTAGCAACACGGATATCTACGGGTCCCGTTCAGACGGACGAGTTCATCCATGGTCGGAACAGAGGAGGGGGAGAGAGACAGCTGCGAGGCGCTGTTATACTCCATGTTGTAAACCATACCATTAACCGTGGTGTGAGAGGTATTAAGAGTCAATGCCAGCGAAAGAGCTGCGGTCTGAAGGTCATCGTAAAATACAATTAATTAAGAACGGTAATGGTTTAAAACATCTTTCCAATGGTTACTAAGCCAGAATCCATCTTCAAGCGTCTTATTTATTAAAAGCACACAGGGCGATACACTTCGTAACGCGGCTACACCTAGGCTGTACAAACACGCAGCCCATCTGCGTCCTGCGTAGCTACGCTGGCTGGTTGACGAGCGTAGCGGCGGAGACAGAGCTGCTCTTGCAGAAGAACCAGCCACGTGGTCGAAGACGAAGAGATGACGACGGTAGCGACGCAACCAGGACCCAGACCCCACGCTAACAGCCCCGAAGTTCTGATTCGGTGCTCTTTATATCTGCCTGGAGTGGCCAAGCTCCACCTCTGGCCACGCCCCCTTTCTAGAACCTTCTAGGCCCTTCGGGATGGTTCCCGGAGCTTCTCGACTGACTCCCCCGTGACCTTTACCCCAGATACGCCCCTTCATAATAAGGCATTATGTAATGCAGCTATAACCTTAATTACCCTTACAGGCCGGCAGGTATCACCCTGTCATTACACATCCATGCATGTGAGGGTGGTGACGGTGTATTAATGTGTGTTCTAGGTTGGGGTACACATCGCCGATGTGAGCTACTTTATCCGGCCGGGGAATGCCTTGGATGAGGAGGCATCTCTGCGTGGTACCACAGTTTACCTGTGTGAGAAGGTGCGATGTGGATTTCTTCTTGCCACAATATCAAGTGTTTTACGACCCGCCAATTTCATCCTTTCATTCTTAACTTTACGACATGATGTAAAATATTATGATGTAACGATCATCGCGGTACCAGTTTCCCCACAACTTTGTAATTGTATTTGACATTTTCACCACATTTTTTGTGTGCTTTTCAGTACTTCCCGTATGAATAACGATAACTTAAAAATGAATTAGAATAAAAAAAATGTGCAACAACAATGCTAAATATCTCTCATGATGTTTTAAACGAGGTGATTTTTGCGGATTTCTTATCATATGATGTACCGTGACATCATGAGCGGCAGGCTATCGGCGCAGTGGTAACACTCGTGCCTTGCAGCAAGGAGACGCTGGTTTGATTACTCAACTCTTGTGCCTTTTTGCTTGCAGTTTTGTTTGTTCTCCCCCCTGTTAGTGAATGGGTTTCCTCTGGATTCATCAGATTTCCTCTAAATAAAACCCATACAATCTTAACTGGCATTCGCGAAAACATCCCCTTGCTGAACAGTTACCTGCAGGTGACTTAATCATGTGTGGGTTTGCTTGCAAAACACTCGTTGAGTTGGTGCATATGTATTTGCCAGATTGTGTTTATTGACAGAGAAGTGTTTGCGTTTATGTGTTTGTGTGCCTGCAGAGGATTGATATGGTGCCAGAGTTATTGAGCTCAAACCTGTGTTCCTTGAGATCCAACGTCGACCGGTGAGATGCACCAACAACTGTTAACTCGCGAGTGCGCACATTGCAACCCATACTCAGCAGCTAACGTGCGTTGTTGCCAGGTGCACATGTAATCCCATGATGCGTGGCACTGTTAAAGTGTCATTGTACAGATCCACACAAGCATGTGTACATACATAAGCAGCCAAACCAGGATGGCACAATGGTAACACGTGTCTCACAGCAAGAATGGCCTAGGATTGATGCCCGACTTGGTTGCCTTTCCATGTAGATTTTGTATGTTCTCCCCCTATTTAGCATGGGTTGACTCCAGGTTATCAGGTTTCCTCTCATCGCTAACATAAACGTGTTATTACTACTATGATCCTTAACCAAGAAAAGCCTCACTGAATCTCATAACTTCGGGAGGGTACTGCAAAGCTTTTGCAGTCGAACAATGGTTGCTACATTAATATTCCAGTTGAGTAATTTGTAACAACCCAAACCGGTATTTGGCCAAACATCCCGCTGCTGAAAGAATGACTCGACTACCAAAAACTTGGCAAGACCCTCCTGAAAAAGAGTCTCGAGACTTTGCGAGGCTTTCCTGAGTGAACACCCTGCACCACTCCAATGACGACTCCGCCACTCGACGGTGAATGGCGACGGTGCATGTGCTGTGCGCGTGCAGGCTGGCGTTCTCGTGCATATGGGAGATGACTCCAAAGGCTGAGATCGTGAGCACACGTTTTTACCAAGAGCATCATCAATTCCAAGGTGATTCCCCCCCCCCCC